GCGGGGGAGCCTCGGTCTGTGGCGCCCACGCGGAACTCGAAGGCCTGCAGGGCCTCGTAGTCCAGCGCCCTCAGGGCGAACAGGTGTCCGTTGTCGGCGTTGATAGAGACCAGGGAGTCGAGGGGCAGTTGCTCATCCTGGGGTGGCAGCAGGGAGTAGGTGACCTGGGCGTTGGTGCCTGAGTCCCTGTCTGTGGCGCTGATGGTGCCAATGTGCAGGGCGGGGCTGTTGTTTTCGTGGACGAACAGGGTGTAGGAGGTTTGGGTGAAGGCGGGGGCGTTGTCATTAACATCAGAGATCAGCACAGTTAGATTGTACTGGGTTTGCAGCCTCGGTGTCCCAAAGTCAGTGACAGTGATGGTGATGGTGTACTCGTCTCTGCTCTCTCTGTCTAGTGCTTTTTCAGAAATGAGAGTGAAAAAATTCTTGAAGGTTGGTTTCAGAAGAAATGGGAGGTCATCTTGAATAGAGCAAACCATCCTACCATTGTCTCCAGCATCTTGGTCTCGAACACTAAAAAGAGCTACTAAGGTCTCTGAGGCATTTTCTGGAATTCTCTTTGTAGTGGACGACATGGTCACTTCTGGTGGGTTGTCGTTTATATCAATTACTTCAACTAGAAGGGTGCATTTTTCTGAGAGGCCGCCACCATCCGTTGCCTGAATATTAATAGTGTAGGACTGTATTACTTCAAAATCCAGGCTTGATTCCAAATTAATTTCCCCAGATAGTGTATTAATTTCAAATGTTTTACGAACATCTTCTGATGCATAGAAAAATGTGTAAGATATTTTTCCATAATTTCCTGTATCCAAGTCCTTCGCAGAGATAGTGATAATCCGGGAGCCAAGGGGTGCGTCCTCCAGGACTTGCACCTCATAGAGACTCTGGGGAAACTCAGGAGCATTATCATTGATGTCCAAGACCTGAATGAAAACCAAAGTTGTACCAGACTTGGGTGGGGATCCACCATCCAGTGCTGTGAGTGTTAATCTGAGTTCATTTTCCTCCTCATGATCTAATGCTCTATCTAGGACCAGTTCTGGGTATATCTTTCTGTCACCACTGTCTCGAATTTTGATGTAGAAATAAGAATTGGGGCTAATTGTGTAGTTTTGAAGGCCGTTGCTTCCAACATCCAAATCTTGAGCACTCTCCACTAAAAATGTGGTTCCAATAGTTGTGCTTTCTGATATTTTAATAAGTATTTCCTTGTCCAGGAATGCAGGAGAGTGATCATTTATATCTTTGACATGCAGCTCAGCCCGAAAAAACTGTAAAGGGTTTTCCAGTACCACCTGAAAATGCAGCACACAGGGCTCGGTGGAGCCACATAGCTCTTCTCTGTCCAGTTTTTCATTTAGAAGCAAATCCCCAGTTAGCAAATCGAGGTGCAAATGCTTTTCATTATCATCAGACACTACCCGAGCCTCCCGTGAGGACAGCTCCTCCACCCTTAGCCCTAAGTCCCTTGCCAGATTAGCCACAAAAGAGCCAATTTCTGTTTCCTCTGCTACAGAATAGCGTGCGGATTCTGTACCTGCCTGAGATAATCCTACCAAAACAAAGAAAATCAGTACTTGCCTCTTCCGCAGACAAAGCACCACTGTGATCTTCATGGTTCCTTCAGGCAAACTCTTTTGAGAAAAAATTTAGGCTCAGCCCTACTTTTGGAAGCCAAGGCTCCAATTCTTCAATAGGAACCGCCCCACACCCCCAGGGTATATATCCCACCAGCAGCTCTGTGGGCGTAGCTCTTTTAATGGCTTTCTTTTCAGTGGGTTAGATATTTGTTCTGAACAATGAAGCCCAAGTCAGCCCATTTACGGTTTTCATCTTATCCTGTAGCGCCACCATGTGTCTCTAGGAATTTTTAAATTAAATATTTTTTCTTTGAAAAAGTAATTTATGAACATATCTGGAATATTCAAAAGCACATCCCAGACATCATGTAATTTTGCCTCTAAATACCTCACTAAGCATCTCTAATAGTTAAGACCTTTTAAAACATAATTACAACAAATGTAGCAATAATTCCTTGATATAATTTATACTACTTTGTGTTTAATTTTCCCCAATTCCCTCCAAAATATCTTTTACTATTTTAATATATTTGTTTGAATAAGAATTCAGACAAGGTTCATACACTGCATTTAATTATCACTGTTTTGAATGTTTGACAGAAAAGAATCTATTAAAATATCCTGAAGAAATACTTTTCTTGAGTAATTACAAATATATTTTCTTCTCCACTCCTGTAAATTCTTGTTGAGTTCAATCATAGTAATGTCGTTACTTTTTTTGCTTCCATATTTTAAAAAATAACATGCACAAGGAAGGACATTACACAAATAAAGCAGAGATAATCCTTCTCTTTATGGAATTTAGAACCTAAAAATTTGGCAGACAAGTAATTAAAATATTTCATAATATATTCATAAGTAAAGGGTGATATGGAAATATCTAGAAGGAACTTCTTGTACATAGGAGGTTGCATAGCATAGTGGTGAGACACATGGGTTCCAGAACAAAAATGTCAACATTAGAATCCTGATTCTACCCCTTACTATAGACATGGACAAGTTATGTAACTGGTTCTTCACCTATAAAATAGAGTAATAATAGCATTTACCTCCTAGGATTATCATCATAGGAATCTAATGAGTTAATATATACGAAGTGGCTAATAAGTGATAGTGAAGTTCTGTTAAAAATATAATAATTAAAACATCTAATCCAGACCTTGAGAAATCAGTGAAAACTTTCCTAGGGTAATGGAACTATAGGTTGTGATCTGAAAGAGCTAGGCAGGAGAAAGAGGAATGTTTCAGGCAGACATTTTGAAGAATACAGAAAAGTTAAATATTCCATGAACTTTAAATCATGGAAGGGGAGAATTTAAAAATGAGATTGGTGAAAAAAGCTGAGTTAGAACATGACTAAGAATGATTATAATAGGTCATATTATCCATTCTTGAATTTATCCCAAAGGCAATTCAAACACAACGTAGGATTTGAAACATTTGATTAACATGATCACATCTACATTTTTGAAAAATTAGTTATGCTGCAGTAGGAATAATTGATTTCAGTGGGAATGATTGGGGCATCAGAGAACAGATAGATGATGGTAGCCTGGATTGGGGTAATGCCAATATGGATGGAGAAAGAAGGGATGATTAGAAAGATATTAAGAAAGATAGGAAAGAAATTTAGACTGAAGATAGGGACTTTGGGATTCATCAGCCATATATGGTGATTGAAACCATGAGAGCTCTAGAATAACCAAGAAAAAGTGTGTTGAGTAAGAATAGAAGAGGCTTAACATAGAACTCTGAGAAACAACTTCATTTAGAGGAGACGGGGTAAGAGTATCTTTTAATAGGGAAGTTCCAGAGTTCAAACTCATGAAACCAAAAGTGAGCAGTATTTAAAGTAGAGAGGGAAGAATAACAGCAAGAAATTATTCAGAAAATGAAGAAAAATAAATACCATAATTGTTCATTTGTTTTAAAAAGATGGTCTTTGTAGAGAATTCTTGTAGATATCTGCCAAAGTCTGTTCTGTCTTTCTTCTTTAGTAATAGAACATGGCACATGACCACTCAGATAGATCGCCTTTCCCAGCCTCCCTTGGAGTTAGGTTTGGGCAAGTGATAGATGGATTATGGGAAACATTTTTTTGTTTGCTACTTCCAGGTCTAGAACAGAAACTATCCCAATATGCCTCTTCCCTCTAAGCCAGCTAGAACTTAAATGTGGTAGTGACTCAGCTATAGCCATGCAGATTATGACATTGTCATAGGGAATGTTGGAGCAATTACTTGATAGAAATTTGGTTCCATAAGGACTTTGAGAAGCAAACCTATCCTATCTTCTTAATTATTTACATTAGAACTATAACATGAAAGTGATAGACATGTTTACAAGCCACTGTGTAGTTGTATCACATTGTTTCCACAGTGTAACCTTAATTTATTCAGAACTCTTTGATGACCTTTACAATAGGAAGTTCAATAGGATGGCTGTGATGAAACTTAGATTGCACTTGGTTGAAAAGTAGAGGGATTAGAAAGCAAAAATGAGGATAGACAATCCTTTCAATAAATTTGTAAAGGAAGAAACAGGTGGAAAAGAAAGAAATAAATCAATATCTGGAGAAGAATTTAGACTCAGAGGGTATTTTTTAAAACTAAAGAAACAAGAACACATTTAAAATGCCAATGTGTAATATTCAGTAGACAGGGAGAAAATTAAGATACAGAAGAAATAATGTGAGTTTCTAAGAGGTGCTTAAAGATGGGATCCAGACAATATATAAAGGGATTGGACTTAGGTGGTAGGGACCTCAGCAGGAGTAAAGTATAGGTACAGACACTGTCAAAGGCATAGATTAGGGAGCAGGAAATTGAGATAATGTCCAGTGGATGGATTGTATTTTCTCTGTAAAGTATTAGGCAAGTTTATCTGCTAAAAGAAGTTGAATATGTGGTAAGTTGAAAGGTTTAAAGTATGTTTCAAATAGTTCTGTAGAGTAGAAAAAAAGCTGATTAGGAAAATTATAAAAAGAGTTCTTGGTCTCAGAAGCCCAGTGGATATGATAAGTTTACAGTGGCAGTGGTACTGATAATTTTCTAAGTTTTGCCTCACAGAGTGCCATATCCCAGGTATAAGAAAGGAGGAAGAAGACTATGTTGATTTGGAATGGAGTTTTAGTGGTTTTAGTGAAGGAAACAAGGGAAGTGCGATTGACTGGCAGGGCAGGGGGAGTAGTAAACCAGGGAATCAGCTGAATAGGAAGGAAATTAAAACAGGAGGGTTTGATTGGTAGTAGCAGGATCATGGAATAGAGGTCCAGATAGGACATAGATAAGATGTGATAGAAGTAGCAGAATGAGAAGGTTAAAGGCATAGAAGGTTGTCTTCTCAGAGGGATATATCTGAAATCATTATATCATAAAAGGATCCATTTCTGGATGGTAAAAGTTTCAGCGTGTAGTTAGGGAATTAATGACTGAGCAAGAGGAATGAGGCCATGTTGTTAGATTAATCAGTGGATCCAGAAGTGGTGGCAAGACTTGAAGTAACAAGAAAGATGAAGAGAACAATGTGTTTGTAAGATAAATTGTCCTGATAGCCTTAATTTCCCATATTCTTGGCTAATTCCAAAATAAACTGCTATTGAGTTTTTAATTGGTAAGCATTTTCAAGCAAATCCATTTTGGGATGCTAGACCATCTCTTGTGTCTATATTTTCTAAGTGTTCTTTTACCTAGTGGACGTAAAATCAATACTGATAACATGTAGTTCTTTAGTATAAAAATGACTACCATCAGTGCTCATACATGTAGTGGACTACATCTATGCACTGGTTTAAATTTATCTATAAATGAGGTCTTTAAGCATAAGAAGAAAATTCATTTTGAGCAATATATCTTGCAATTTGAGCTAAATACCTAGGGGCTCTTCATTAGAGTCAGCAAATCCATAGATAGTTCAATAGAGGAGAACTTCTGCTCATATAGTCTGGAAAAACTTGAAGCAACAAGACAAGCACTTGGTCTTTGTCTCTGATGTACCTGTTAGATTTTTACCTGAGCTGTTTGAACTGTTTTTTCTCCCTCTACCATTAGAAATGAGAGAAGACCACAGGCAGGCTGCTAGAACCACTCCTACCTTTATTTTTAACAGCTTGATTGAGATATAACTTACACAGTAAGAAAGTTCACCCATTTAGAGAATTGCTTGAGTTTGAGGTTGCTGTGAGCTATGATGCTACAGCACTCTACAGAGGGCAACAAAGTGAGACATTGTCTCAACTAAAAAAAATTTCACCCATTTAAGGTGTTTCTATGGTCCAGATGTTTGTGTACCTTCAAAATTTATATGTTGAAACCTAATCCCCAACGTGATAGTATTGAGGGTGGGGGCTTTGGGAGGTGATTAGATTATGAAGGTGGAGTCCTCATAAATGGGATTAGTGCCTTTGTGAAAGAGGCCTAAGAGAGATCATTGGTTCCTTCCAGTATGTGAGAACAGAACTAGAAGGCACCATCTGTGGGGAAGCAGGCCTTTACCAGACATGACTAGAATATTTACAGAATTGTGTAACTATCACCATAGTCTAATTTTAGAACACTCTCATCATTCCAAAAAGAAACCTTGTACCTGGTAGCAGTCACTCTTCATCAAGAACCCTCCCTTTAGTCCTAGACAACCAATAGTCTGCTTTCTGTTTCTATTGACTTACCTATTTAAAACATTTCATGTAAGTGGGATTACACAATGTACATTCTTTTATGGCTGACTTCTTTCATTTAGTATATTTTTGAAGTTCATCCATGTTGTAGATGGTACTAGCAGTATTTCAATCCATTTTATTGCTGAGTAATTATAATTCCATTGTATGGTAATGATCACATTTCATTTATTCATTCATTGGTTGATGGACACTTGGGTTGTTTCCACTTGTGGTAATTATTGATAATGTTACTATGAACATTCATGTGTAAGTTTTTGTACACATGTTTTGATTTCTTTTTATAGGTGCATAGTGTAGAATTGCTGGTCTTCAGGCAAGAGTATGTTTAACATTTTGAGAACTGTCCAATGTTTTCCAAAGTGGTGGTATCATTTTATAGTTCCACAAGTAAGACATGATGATTCCAATTCCTATGCATCATTGCTAACACTTTTATTGTCTTATATGTCTTTTTTATCATAGCTATTCTGATGTATATGAACTGGCCTTCTTTACTTTTCACCTTCAGCATTTGATACATCTTGTCTGGTATGTCAAGAAGCTATAACACTTTATATCCCTCTAAGCCAGAGATCCTCCATTTTTTTCCCACTAAGTGCAGTCAAGACAGGAGTTAATTTCAATACTTGACTTTAATAACATCTTGTAAGTTTCATTCTCTGTGTAAAGCAGCTTTCACTTAGAGGGAAAAGAACTTTCTCTTAGTTCTGCTTCCAGTAATAGAAAATTAGAATTCAATTAGCGTGCATGCAACACAATTGACCTCTGTTTCTTCCCATTTCTCTTAAAAGAAAAAAAATGATTACTTGGTTCATACACTTTAGCAGTAGAATATTAGCTTTCAAGAAGTATAAATATTAGGTCATCTTGTATATACTAGAAAAAGAGATTGTAGTTCCTGGTATTATCAACTGACTAATACCCAGTCCCTCTGCAGTGTTAATAAAAAGTTTTAAAATATCTTCAGGAAGTAGTTGAGTCTAGTTTGTACAACTAGAAGCAGTCATTTTACTCATCTACACTAATTTCTTCTTTCTAATGCCTGCTCTCTCTCACACACATACTTCCTTTTTCTCTATACTTATAATCATTACGTTCCTATACATTTTTCTTTCACAACATATACACATTAGATTTTGTGACAAAATTCATGGAAAATCTCCTCCAACCATGAAGGCTTTCTCTTCCATAGTATAATCAGATCGTTAAGAGTGGTTGGACAGAGCCTGTGCAGCATGAGACAAAGCTGTCCTCCTACAATGGTCTGAAAACCTTTTTAAAAATTAGAATGACAAAAGACTATATATTTTGATACTCTCTTTGTGCAACATCTAATATTTTTGTATATCAAAAAGTGGTTTGCAAACTTTGGGTTACTACCCATTAGTATATCATGAAATCAAGATAGTGGATAATGACCACATTTGAAAATTAAGTAGAAAGAAATAACATAGGTAATTTCAGATTCCATCACAAAAGGGTTAAGCATTATTCACAAAACATTTCTTTCTATTAGGATTGTGCATGACAAAATAAGTAAAACAATGTTGCTAACGGTTGTGGTATAGTTTCCAGTGTATATATTAGATTCTGGTGTAACAGGCAAAAGTATGTACACAGCACACAAGTCCACTTTATGCTATACAAATTATTACTCAGGTGCCTGCATTCAACTAGATTGCATTATAGCTTTGTAACATTAATGAAATGTGGGAAATTACAGGTTTGTATTCCAAGATACAAGTAGCCACAATAGTAATGTACCTTCATAATCACTTTCCAGGATGAATGAAAAAAGAATAATAAGAAACATGCCAAAGCCGGTTGTGGTGGCTCACACCTGCAATCCTAGCATTCTGGGAGGCCAAGGCAGGTGGATTGCTTGACCTCAATAGTTGGAGACCAGCCTGAGCAAGCAAAACCCTGTCTCTAAAAACAGTTGGAGGTTATGTAGGGTGTCTGTAGTCCCAAGTACTCTAGAGGCTGAGGGAAGATCACTTGAGGGCAAGAGTTTGAGGCTGCTATGAGCTATGACAGCCATGGGGGGGAGGAGGAGGAGAAACTTGCCATGTAGCTCTTTCTAATCAAGTGATCACACTTATGGTTGTATTTTCTGGTTTAATTTATAAATTGACACACATATGCAAAGGTTAACTAAAAAATTCACTGTGTTTAAAGAAAGAAATGCATTTCTGAATAGCAACCATTTAAAACTACAAGAACAATTAATTGCAACAGGAGAGAATCAATCCTGTATAACTTGAATTGCCTCCAATTTTCTGTTTTATTTTACTATAAACAAAATTGTGGTAAAAGTTTACCTGGAGGAAGGGAGATCGAAAAAATATGATTTAGTGTTGTTCTTTAGTAAACAAATTATGTACAAATTAAGACTATCTGGGTTAAGGAATACCCAGATAGTGAGAATGCCATCTTGTGAAATCCAGAAATACTGGTAAACAAACATTCGCTGAAAAGCAAAGGGGGAAAGAATGTGAGAAAACATGAAAGTAAATCACCATAATTTTAAATACATGCTAATTGGAAATAAACATTGGTTTGGAAGTGTCACTAAATAATACACATATGTAACATAGAAGCCAGTTATGGTCACTGAATATTGAACTAAAAGCCGCTGGGGAAGGTAACATTTTCCTCCATTTCTTTTCCTGGGCACTGGGGTGGGAAGTTGGGGATAATCGGTTTCAGGAATTTGAACTCATTTGTTCCAGAGTCTCCAGTCAGACATATCTCATACTGGTAGCTCTGGGACAGAGTCCCTGTACCACTAACGTCCACTAGGTGGCCAGGAAAGTGGCCTTCAGG